CTTGTGAGTCCTGAGCTCCCATTGGCCAGTCATTTCCCGCAGGGGAGGTGATTGACTGTGATTTCTGGGTGCTGATTGGACAGTCGTGAAGGCAGTCCTCCAACCACGTTCACCTGGAGGACCCGCCCTTATAACCTGCCCCAGTCCTCCACGGCTTGGGGCAGCTGGAGTGGATTCCAGTTTTCCAGTTAGTTTGTGTTTATTAATAATATAATGTACTAATTCTCCACACACTTTGTTTATTTGTTTCTGTATAATTATTTCTTAAGTGTGTGGGTGCTGTGCTTGGACATAATCAAATGCATGTGTTAATAATATCCACAATCGACTGCTGAAACACAGAGACGGCTGCAATAAAACACAGGTTCAAATGTTGTAAATGATCTGTCAGTCAGTCCATCAGGTAAAAGATAATCCAACATAGTTCTTTCTTGGATATATAGTCAGTTTTAATCCAGATGAAACGTCTCTCGTTTGCCTTTCACCTAAAAGTAAAGTTGCTGAAATTGTTTTATAAAATGACTAAAATGATAATGTCTTCCTTACTTTTCCTTCTTTTAATTTATCGTGTAGTGGCATTGCAAAGTGTTTATTGGGTCTTACATTTCACTCGATCAGGCCTGGAGGCACGTTCTCAGAGCAAACCATTTCACTTGATCAGGCCTGGAGGCAACAGTGGCTCATTTGGTAGAGAATTGGCCTTTAGGCCTGAAGGTTGTGGGTTCAAGTCCACCACAAGACTTGCTTAACGACTCCCAATGATGTTTGCTGTCGTTGTGTCCTTGGGCAAGACAGTTAACCCCCCTTTGCCTGAAGCCCCGCTGAAAGATCAAAAGCTCCCGTGGACTCACCACCTGCAGGAGGATCAGTGAGGAGCTGGTGCTCTGTGTACTGGGTGCAGCTCTGACTCCGACCCAGAATTGGATTAAGGGGAAGACAATGGATGGATGGACTTTAAAGAGAACTACTATACTGTGGAGCCCATCGCCACAGCCATGAAAAAAAAAACTCTGGTCTAAAGAAGGTTGCCTCTAAATTGGAAATACGTGGTGATAAGACACATTTCAAGTATTTCACGATGTGGTCCAGCTGTTAGTTTCGTTCTCATCCCCTAGTGTGGCGTCTTTCTAGTAAGGCCTTTTACTCTAACAGCCTCCACCGCCTCTGTAATGAGGGAACCGACCGTAAAAAGTCGGATGTCACAATCAAACGAGACCATTGTCTCATCTGAGTCAAACTGGAGGTGGTTTGATTTTATTACAATATCTTTTGTGTTTATCTATGTGAAGGTGGGGTACCCACCCAAAGGAGTCCAGAAATGTGATTTTGAGTGTTTATAGCCATGGTTGTATGTGAAAGAGTCTATGCTACATACACTTCGGCCTAATGTAAATGTAGCATAGACACAAAAAGAAATTGTAAATAAAATGCAAAACACCATCCAGTTTGACTCAGATGAAAAACAACTGGTCTCGTTTGATGTACATCACTTTTTTACGTCGGGTCCCATTGCAGGATGCGTTGGAGGCTGTAAGCGAAAGCCACGAAAGACGCCCACACTAGGGAGTGAAACAAACTAACAGCTGACCAAATCTGTGAAATAACTTGAAATGTGACCTTAACACCACGTATTTCCAATTTAGAGGAACCTTCTTTAGACAGATTCATGGTGTGCGATGGCTCCAAGTCTCTCCTAATAGTGCCAATCTGGTAATGGAAGAACTGGAGGAACCCAGCCCTGGGCTCGTACCAAGGGCCAGCGCCAAGCCATGGTTCGAGTATGTAGACGATACAATGGTTAAGTTAAAGGAACAGGAGTGGAACCATTTTCAGCACACCAATTAACTCGGTGGACCCTTTATAAATATCACTCGCGAGGATGCTCCGGAGAGGAACTCGCCTTCTAATTGTAAGGTCATCATACTGGAGAACAACAATATAGAGACTGAGGTCTCAGACAGTGCCACTCACACTGACCAGTCCTTGGCCTTAGATTTCAAATCATCCCGCTCCACACAAACTCGGTGGTCATTAGAACCTTCAACACGAGCCCACCAGTCCCCACTAGCACGGAGGGAAAGAACAGAGAAACCAAACATCGTCATCAGAGCACTATTCCAATGTAGGGCTACCCCAAGTGGTCCTTTTCCCTGAAAGCCAAAGGACGAGAAAGGACCGAAGACACAGGCCCACCAGACAGAAGAAAAGTAGAGGAGAGGGGGTGTCCTTACCGTATTGGCGGGGAGTTTTCAGTAGAAACTAAAAAAAAATCTTAGGTCAACACAAAATCCCTGTGTTATATACAAACCTTCAACACGTTAAGACAGTAATTAGGTGCATCCCGAAAGACAAAACACCCAGACACCAACACAGCAATGAGGGTGTATTCAATTAAATGAATTGAAGAGGAGTGCACTGACCACTATATTGTGAGAAACCAAACAAACTCTACAGAAACGACTTATCCAACTCGTAGAGAAAACTCTAGTGGGCCACAGGTCGCTGTTCATCTCCACCTGAAGGCCTCCAACAACAACGGTGGAGATAAACAGATGATAAAATTCTGGCTCGGGAGAGAGAATTGGTTATGAGAGAGGAGTGAAAGACGCCATTTTTGTGAGGCAACAAAAACCATCTCTTCGACAGTAGAGTATGTATTAAGAATTGGTTTTGACCTCAGCATCTATGACGACCTCCTAAAAACAACGCCCTAACCTTGGGAACAAGGGACCGTGACATGCTAATGATTAGGAGGGGTGAAACCTGCCCTCCACTTGAGCAATCCAGCAGACATTAGTCGGACATGCTAAGGGTTAGGGTCGTTACCTCAGCATGGTCGTAGACCGCTCCTTCCTACATCAAGCAACCTAGGAGAAGTTTACGAGTTAGTATCAGAAAGAGGAGAAGGGAAAAGCTTAGGGTGTGGCTTACCACTCCCATAGTTATAAATCTCCAACCGCGGTCCGAGAATTCATTCCCTGAAGCAGTCCCTCAGGTTGAGGACGAAACGTCGGCAAACAAGCTAAGAAGTACAGATGATGGTGAGAAACCTTCCTTTCTATCAAAATGTAAATACATGAATAAAACAACAACAACCAAAAATTAATTAAAAATACCATAATTCCTATTAATCCTAATTACATCTTCCCATTCTTCCTCCCTTCAAATATAGAACATCTCTTCAACAAAACTCGCATTTTGATAATGAACCAAAGCGCATGTAAGTTAGCTTGTTTTGCTATACAATAATGTTACTGGTATCTGAATTCGTTTGGTTGACATAAATACTATTCAGTAATATTCCATTAACAAACTAAGTACAACCAATAAAAATGTTTAAATCTTACTTGTGAAAAAGTAATACCGCACGAGCGCCTGTTTTGAATAGTCGCCTATTTTGACAGCCAAACGCCGCCAGTGATCATTGCATCGCGCTGTAGGATGACCGGTCCAAGCGAGTGAGCGTGTGCGCGGAAATTTCTCGTGCCCGAGCAACCAATGCGGCGTCTATTCTATATATGTCTGTGAATGCTAGCAACAGATAGGCTGGCAACTTCCAAAAATTTAGAACTCTCTGGACACTGCATGAAAACTGAACAACAGAAATCTGTGACAGCAGCGGTGAGTGACCCATACATAAACCCTAACCTATTCCATAATTCGATCCTCTGCAAATGCGACCGAAAATGAGCCGGTATCTACTTCACTGTTTTTGCGGGATCGCCTTTCCTCGCATTACATCAGTGTTTTATGTCATGAAAACGAACGTAAAATTCTGAAAACTTCCGTGCACTTGTATTAAAGACTGGATAAGTAAAATTCACTCTCCGATACACATTTCATGCGTTGATTGATTGGCATTTGCGTTTATTAGCGGCCAGAACTACTTCCGGGTTTTTCACGATCGCTTTTTGACGCAGAGAAATAGGTATTATTTTGTCATGAAGGACAAGACCAAAATTCTGAAAATTTCCTTGTCACGTGTTGTGAAGAATGTATATGTAAAATTAATTCTCCCCGATTAACAATTAAGTGGGTTGATTGAGTGTGGCAAGCTCCTGCGTGGCCGGAACTAACTTGCGGAGTTTATACCACGCATTTAAATACAAGCAGAGAGTGCGTTGCCATGGGACAGCGGTCATTATTGTTTTGAGAGGTCCGTTATAGAAAATAAGACGCGGTAGAACGTTTTGAAATTACATTCAAATCAATGGAGCGATCTACTGCAGCTCTGAGGAGCGTATAAAAAAAACGTTGTAATTTATCCCACGTAGGAGAAATTCACATCCTAGTTTACCACTGCAACGAGTGACGATCTGTACATATACTCTTATATACTGAGTATTTTTTTAGGATGTTCAGTGTTTCTTTTCCTTTGTTCAGCACATTGAGTGTGTTGTACGTGTACAATGTGAGTGAGTATGCGGTACATCCTATATATGAACTTACATCGAATAAACAAAAACAAAACAGGCCCTGAATTGGGATAAAAATAACGTTTATAGCGTTTTCACCACCAACCAGTAGATGTCACCTCCGACTCGGCCTCATCCAATCAGCGCGTCCTCTGGCATAGTCCCTCCCCGCCAATCAGCACGGACGCTCATTAATTTTTGAAATTGTGTACGGCTATTGCTAACTCATATCTGCCGGCCAAGTTTCACACATTCTCGTCCCTATTGGTGAGAGAAAGTCGCTCTGGACCTCCGCGCTCCTGAGTAATCTCTTTGGATTCAGTCTTTAATTTGCACAGTTTTATCTGCTGCCGACTTATGTCAGTATTAGTTTATCGATTTGTGCCTACTTGCAGCACTCTACAATGGACCCTTGATTAATTTGACTATGATATGCGCTGTCTCAGTGTGACATTGACACGTATGTCTTTGATGTGTGACGTAACAATGACTAAAAACCCCCAAAATGATCTTGACATTGCTCTGTCCAGAATCAACCACCATTTTTGAGAAAAAAACAACCGAAGCTGATTCACAAGATCCCGTATGGTATGAGTCTGATTCCTAACACTCAGCGCTGCTGCTAGCGTCACTCATGATAAACTGAAACCTACTCATGTATTCTACCTTTAGCGTAGTCATACTTGTTCATGGTGCAGAATTTTGGTTAAGTAAGTGATGCAGGAGACTAGAACGAAGAAACTCGAGAAAGTTTGTGTGAACGAAAATCAAATACAAAGAACATTTATTTTGGGTCTTGAAGTTATTTCTAGTGTCAACATAATTTTAAAATGCAATTTTCCCCAATTCTGGACACCAGATTTTCATGTGGATTGTTTCTAGGAATTGTGAAGATTTTTTTGGCTCCAAACTTAGACTATATAAATCAGACTTTGACAAATAGCCAAAGTGTCTGTCACAGCAGCACCACCAGATTTCCAATTCAATTTATTCATAGTATAGCCCTAAATCATCTGAGGACTTAACAAAACAGAAATCGCCAACACAGTCAGAGAATCAAACTTTTATAAAACACATAATATATAGTAACACCTATAGTATTGGTCCATAGGGGGAGATTAAACAATGTCCATGCGATGTATTGATAAATGTAGAATGTGTCCTGATCATCACCACCGTCCGACCTTGTTGGACCACTAACATCGTCTGACCTTGCATCTGCAAGGAAAAACTTAGTGTGGGGAAAGTGAAAAACCTCAATTTTCATTGCCACATAACAGGAAGTCTCAGACTGGAATTGCTTTGGCTCAGTGCAACAGTCAGAAAGAGGGAGAAGAGAATGCATAGCCTAAAAAAAAATAGGGGGGGTGGGGGGGGGGGGGGGGGGGGGGGGCAAAGGCGGTTCTAGGGGGTGGTATAACAGTGTTTAAAAATGGAATGGATTACAATATACAAGTGCACACAACAAAGTGACAGCAGTAAATGAGAACCACAATTCTGAAACTAAAGGCTACCCATATTTTTGTGATGTCAATACGGACAGCATCCTTTAAGACCAGTGGTCTCTAACCTATAGCACCCTGTGCGCCCCTTTCGGGTAGACTCCCCACAGGATTAGAATTGAAACCATGTCCTGAAATGCAACACTCCAAAGGTTATCAATCTATAAAAGTAAAAAATGTATAAAGATGTATAGCACATTTTACATGTGGTTTCACCAGGTGTGGTCATCATTAATTATGCACAGATTTTGATTACGACTACAAAAAAAGGAGTAGCTCCCTCCCTCATCGTGTTGTATACAAGTAGCTCTCCGTTTGAAATGATTGGAGACTCCTGCTTTTTTTTTTAGACTGTATACTCATGGGTCTTGCTGTTTGTAGCCTGGACGCCACACAGAACCAGAGCCTGATGGGGAAAGCGACTGTGGGGTCAAGGAGAGCTGCTCGGTGGAACTCACTAACATCAGACCCTTCAGCTGTCAATACAAAAGGTAAACAATATTATGTCACAGTTGGACTTTGCTCCATAAAGGACCATCTCAATATTTTCCACAGAGGTGAGCCCTCAAGACACAAGCCTGTCCTCAAGATTAGGCTCCCCAGAGAAGCAAAGCAGAGGTCCTGGTCCCTATTGGTCCTTGGGGTCCCAGCCCTGGTGCCACTTGCAGCAGGTAAGACTCTAAGCGGATGAGACTGCACTTGGCCAGCCTACACTGAGGCCCTGCTCACAGTGAGGATTTGATGAAGAAGACAGTTATCTTCCTCAGCTCTGCTCACACATACTTAAAAGACATCTACATATATCTGCAGAGCTGGAGCGGCAGCAGCCTGTGCTGGACCGCACTACATGCAGGGCTATGAATATTTCACAGGCCGCATAGGGCGCTGCTGGTGGACTGGCTAGTCCAGGTTCACTCCAGGTTCCAGCTAGCTGCAGGAGACTCTGAATCAGACTTGTGGCTGTGCTGGATCGCCTTCTGCAGGGTAGTTGCCAACTCAGTCGTTCCCAAAGTGGGGGTCCAGACCCCCCCCCCCCTCGCCTCGGCCTCTCCCACATCCAGCCTTTATCTGTCTTTGCACAACAGGGAAAGTGGTGGCAAACTTGATCATCGCTTTAGTTTTTAGAATTCTATATGGGGAGATGAGAGAGAAGGGGGGGGGGTGGCTATATTAATATAGGTAGGTGAGCGGAGTGCGAGCAGAGTGCTTGAAATATATAGTTGGGTAAATGTAATATAACATATATGGGTATATTCGTAGAAAAAAATAGGAGGGGGGTAATATAATAAAGCGAGAGAATGTGAGGGGAGGGGGGGGGATATCAACACACGGTGGGGCGGGTTTTTTTTTTTTGTTGGGAACGGGGGGGGTGGGGATGGGGGGGGTGGGTAATTTGCGGTTGTGACACACACACACACACATAAGAGAGTGTGGTTTGTTGTTTGGGGGGGGGGGGGGTGGGGAGGGAGGTGGGAGGTACACTGTGGGTTAGTAAATTATTCTCTCTAGAAAAGGTTGGGAGTGGTGTGTGAATCTGGGGGGGGGGGGAGGACGGGGGGGGTGGGGGGGTGTATAATTTTTTGAAATGGGGGGGGGGGAGGGGATGATGATATAGTGTAGAGGAAGGGATTATAATTTCTATTTAAGGTGGTGTTTTGAGTATTTTGGTTGTGGGGGGGGGGGGGGGGGGGGGGGGGGGGGGGGGGGGGGGGGGGGGGGGGGGGGGGGGGGGGGGGGGGGGTGGGGGGGGTGGGGGTTTACATGGGGGGGGGGGGGGGGGGGGGGAGGGGGGGGGGGGGGGGGACAAAAGTCTTGAAGGGGGGGAGGGATGAGGGAAAGGATGGGGGGGGAGTGGGGGGGGAGGTGGTTGATAGAGGGGATGATGAGAGAGATTATTATTATTAGGTGGTGGTGGTTTGTGTGTGTGGTTGATTGTGGGAGGTAGATGAATGATGAATAATATGAGAAATTAGGTTTGGTGTATGGTGAGTGAGGTAGGGTTTTTGGGGAAGAGGGGGGGGGAATGGATTAGAAGGGGTGTTGGTGTTGTGGGGGTTAGAGGGGGTGTGATTGTGTTTTAGGGGGGGATGGGGATAGGTTTTTTTTTTTTTTTTATGGTTTTATATGGTTTGTAAGATTTGGGATTTTTTTTTTTTTTATAAAGTAAGTGTGGTTGTTATTGTGTTGGGGTGTGTGGTGGTTATAGAATAATAAATTGAAAGTAATTTGAAAAAAATGAAAAAATATTTATAAATGTGAATAAGGATGGGAGAGATAAAGTGTGATAGGTTTTGGGTATTTTTATGTTTTGAGATGTTATAGTGTGGATAAATATGTAAATGGGTGAAAAGAAGAAAATGCTGGCTGTTGGAAGAGGAGAGGCGAGGGGGGGGGGGGGTATGGACAACATCTGGGGAAAGACTGAGTGGCACACTCATGCAGGATGCGAGCCCAGCACAGCCACTTCCAGATACAGAGTCTCCTGCAGCAGCGGGAACCGTGGAGTGGCACCTGGACCGAGCCATTCCCACAGCAGCCCTCATGGCGGCCTTTGGATCTCATAGCCTAGCAAGAAGTGCTGCCCGCACAGGCTGCTGCCCGCTCCCAGCTCGAGCAGATATCTGTAGATTTCTTGTTTACGTAGTGTGACAGAAGGCTGATGGAAGATCACAGTCTTCCTCATCCCACATGGGAGATTCTTCACTGGCTTTCTCAAACACAATGCCATGGTTAGCCGATGACTCCGTTACTGGTTGTACAATCTGAGAGTGAACTCTCTTTAGATGTTTAGCATATGAATTTAATTTGTGATAAGTTCTTTGACAATTGTCCTGGTGGCACACAATGGTGTAATCTTGTGCATCACTTAGTGCATGCACTTGTCTGAGATGATTGATGAGTTGTCTTATGTGCTTTGACACTGCTCTTTTGCACTTGGGACAAGTATACATGTTGGTTGATAATTTACATTCCATGCAATTTGGAAATCAGCTCTAAGACTTTAGAGCGCTTTGCAGATTCCTTATTCAAATCATAAGCATACTCCAAAAACTGGTATACTGATTTGACCTGAGGAGGATATGACAGGTTGCACACCCAAAATAGTTTGAAGAGTTTGTCCAGGGCACAAGTCAGTCCTTCATCTTGGAGAGGGATGATTACTTTGTCATTAGTTGCAACGATGAAATATTGTGCCGCTGGGTTCCTGGGATGTCCTAGGCAAATGAGTTTTGGTTGCTGGACTTCTGAATCAGAGTCTGCAGTCAGACTCAAAATGCTTGTTCCACTCTGGAGAATAAAAAAATAAAAATAGACAGTTTGAAAACAGTTACTATACTCAAATGTCACAATTCAATTTGCAAAACAATGCAGGACCCACAATTCACACAATGCCATACGTAAAATAAGGCTCTCATAAGAGATCACAGCTAATTAGGGATTCACAATCCAGCTTTTAAAAGTCCAATAACGATATATTGACTTTCAATATCTGCCAATTCCTGATATGAACAGATACCAGTGAAGGCACTAAAGAATAATGGGCCTCATTCACGAACGGTTCTTAGGAACAGATTTGTACGTAAATCCTACTTACGCGGTTTTTACGAAGAAAGTGGCATTCACGAATATTTCTCGTAACCAGAATTTCTCTTGGGCAAGTACAAATCCTACGAGTCCTCAGGAGCACTCGTACGCATTCAGTGCCGACATGTTCACACGCCGGGGTTGTCCTCTTTGGTGAAGTTGAATAAAAATACAACATTCCAGTGATATGTCCGTCATATCGATGTATGTATTTATTTATTTGTAGTAATCTTTATTAGTAATCTTTATTTATATACCGCCTTTTTCACTGCAGATCTGGCCTACTTTTTAATTCATTTTGAAATGAAATGTGCCAACGCTTTATCAAATACATTGGAAATCTTGCCGTGTATTAGTGACCCCTTCCTATTTATAGGGGGCATTTCTTTATCCACGGGCCACAGAACAACGGCATGCTGCTGCAGGAGGTTACTGGGTCCGCGCTGAGTCTCTGCGCTGGTCTCTCCTATGGATCTAGACAGGTCTGCACTGGTCTCTCCCATGGATCTATACGGGTCTGCACTGGTCTCTCCCATATATGGGTCTGCACTGGTCTCTCTCCATACGGGTCCGTGCTGCCTGCTCCTGGATCCATACGGGTCCGCGCTGGTCTCTCAAATCTGGTCTATGCGGTCTATCTTCGGTCCGCGCTGGTCTCTGCGCACCGGTCTCTCCAGTCAGGTCACTACAGTCTATGCGGTCTCTCCTATAGGTCCGCGCTGGTTTCTGTGTGCTGGACACTCCAGTCTCTCCTCGGGTCTGCATTGGTCTCAGCGCTGGTCCGCGCTGGATCTCCTCCCAGGGTCCAAAATATTTTGAGATTAATCTCAAAACATTTTGAGATTCATCTTTAAAATAATACATAATATATTTTTAAATTAAGCTCATAACATTTTGAGATTAATCTCATCATATTCTTAGATTAATCTCATAATTTTGCTAGTTCGACTTTATTATCATAATATTTCGACTTTTAAGTCAACATTTTATAACTTTATTCTCAGTCTGGTAAAAGAAGAAAAAAGGCCTGCTTTAGGCCTGTTGCTGTTTCCTCTGGCGTCTGCACACGGCCCTGCATCCCCTTATATGGGCATTAGTGGGCGGTTACTTATGCTAAGTACCTATGCTAATGAAGCACCTGGCGCGCGCGCTGTACTTACGAGGAAATGGGATTCATCAATCTGAGAGAACAGCTGCGAACAATTCAGCGGCTTACGAGCGCGTTGATGAATCCCACGTGGGGACTTCTTAGAAATCTACTTAAGGACAACTTGAGAAGAAAGTTGAGTAGTTTCTTACGAAGTTATTCGTGAATGAGGCCCAATGTTCTTTTCTCAAAGAACAGCTCACTCATTATAAATCAGATCCATTTGTTTTTAAACGGCAACTCCTGTAACTACAGAACAACTGTTTGAGTTAAAGTGAATACACATAAATTAAATGCGCTAGAATCAGCAGCATTCTTGCATCTCAAATGCATTGTCACACCCCTACTTGCAACAGTAGCCATACATTTTAAACAAGACTAAAAAAAATGAGACGTAAATTACTGATGTTAGTAAACCGTATATGTTAAAATTAATGTCAAGTCAAAAAAGCAAATAAAGACCAAAAGATTAGGTGTTTTGACTTTACCGGCTTGAGATCCAGGATGTAGGACATTGCAGACTTCACGCTGCATTTTGTCCATCCCTTGCCTCTTCCTGATGCGGTTGGAGGAAGAAAGGTACTCAGACTCTGGAGCGCTTGAAAGGAACGCGACTCTGCAAAAATATTACACAGTTTGTTTCAATGCACATTTTTTGCCGGTTTTAACAAGAACTATATATTGTTTATATTAGTTCCCCTGTTTAACATTTGAGAGCAAATTAGCTGAAATAATTTTCTGTCAACATAACTGGTTAAAGGGACAACAAAGTGTCACCAAAGGAGCAACTGCAAACCTAGAAAGGCAGTACTCTTGTTCCACAAAACAACTCACCACTGGTTTCTTCAGAATCAGGCATGCCTTTTTTTTCCATAGTTGACAATTTGAGCAGTTTGGGAACAAATTGTGCTTCCCACTTGCAAAGGAAGTTGTCTTGCTTCCCAGGGAACAACTTCCCAAATTCAATGTCAATCTGTAAACAAAAATACATGTAAGCGTCATGTGCAAACAAACAGCAATTAAACTACCATGACCTTATGAGCAAGTGTATAATACAATAGTTTAACTATGTAATTGTACAAACACGAAAGTGTTTGAGGCGATAAAGAGCCAGAGAAAGAGAATTTAGACAAATAAAGCCAACCTTGCTATATTAAGTTTTCATAGAGACAAATTGTAAGAATTGATTGACACTTTCAAATCTAAACTTTTTCAGAGCAGTTTCCATCTCCATTTCAAATTCTCTTGTTACTATGTCCAATGATACATTTAGAGAACACAATTATTGGTTAAGAAGATGTAATGTTTACCAAGCACAGTAGGTCAATAAAGCGTGGATAGTGAGCGACAATTTCCTGCATTGTGGGAGACTCTGTTGAAATCCAAAGCCTCCGACTTGTGAATGTTTTATCCATGCCCATTTTGATTGTTGCAATGTTCTCAGGGATGGGCTTCATCCTTTTAATAGCAGATGTCCACTCCAGTGTAGCCTCTGCCTCCTGCTCTGCCATGTGAAGGGTAAGGATCGGGTACACTACAACGAACTCTTTTCCGGTATCGCCGCTGATCTTCGTGAAGACTTCTGCGGAGGTTCCTCAGCCTCATTTCAATAAACCCACAATGGGAAACTGGGTCAAAGAAATGCTCCTAGACAATAAAAAAAAAGAACAGTTATACATGTGTATATATTATACACACACACACGTGTGTGTAAATATACTCACAAATCCTTCATTTTTTTCCTGGTAGTTTATCTTTAGCGAGGGAAAGACTTACTATACTTCTAGCCAGAAGTATTTTGTCATCCTTTGAGGGATAGCTAAATAACAGACAAAAGTATGATTAACTGTATGATACATTTTAATATAGATACCATAACTGTAATCTTATCTTAAAACTCTGCATTAACAAAAGGTCTGACATATTCAATGATGTAAATTGCATTATAATAATCATGGCGTAAAAGAGTTTCTTTTTAAGAAACAAATGCAAAAAGTCAACAGTTCAAGGTCAAATGACTTAATTCTGTTAACTTTCATAATGCATGACTTAGTGAAATTGACAAATGTAGAAATTGCTTATTTGGTTTTTGTATTAGAATCAAAGGCATCATGTATCGCGTTATGTTTGTGAACCAATTTATTGTCTATCAAAATTGTTATCGTGATAGGCCTAGTTACAAGTTCATTCCAACCAAGCAGAGCCACACCGGACTCCACCCATTTCCTCAAGACTTTCTTCTTACATGAGAATTGGAGGGGGTCTGGTGTGCCCCTGCTTGGTTGAAATGAAAGCCATCAGTCAGACTTTTGGACTGCAGTGTGTGTACAGGTGTAGATACGAGTATTTTGAAATACTTACAATCCCTTCTGTTCCACGAGATGGCTCACAGATACTTTAACAAGCAGTTTTTGTGACGTGATGGAAAGACTGCCTGATGATTCGAACTCCAAGAGGAGATTTGGGGCTTTTTCCTTCAACAGTTTTCTCAAACTATCATTGCCTGGCTGTGGTTCATTCTGCAAAAAACAATGAAATCCATGAATACAGGTGAATGCTGAAACATTTGAAAATCATGAAAAATGTAATTATGTGAAACTAATACATAAAAAGAAGGCAAAACATTTTTTTCTTCTTTTTTAAAGTCAGATGGAGGAGAATCGACAATGGAAAATGGACAAGGAGATCTCGAAAAAGGAATTTACCTTTGCAACATAATTACAGAAAGATATCAGGACCAAGTCCAGAGTCAGGACAAAGACTGCATTTGTGGTTTTTACAAGCAAAATAATGCAAGTTAGAATAAAGGCATAAATAATTGGCACTAGTCACTTTACCATAAGTCCATAATATATATTACTTCACATTTTAAGTTGTGAAAAGAATGTACTTTGACACACTATTAAAATTACTCAGGATTCATCATTCACTACAATATAATGTAAAACATGTAAACAAATGACATACCTCTGACAGTCCAACTGTAGATGAAGCAATGGCTCCAATTGAAGTTGAACCCGAGGGCTGGTTCTTAGGAAGGAAAAACAGTAAACAGATAAAAGTTGAGGTTACAATAAGAAATAAAAAATATTACCAATAGTTGAACATTACAAACCTGATATTCCGAAGTGTATGATTTAAATGAAATTCTGTATTTGTCAAGGTTCTGGACAAGTACATTGACATCCGCATCAGTAAATTCCTTAAAATCTTCACTGTATATTTGAACAGAATGAAAGTCGGCTTTGTCTGTTAAAAAGCTTGTGCTTTTATCAATCAGTTCTTTAATTGTGTTGAGATGGTAAACTCTTTTGGCAATCTCTTTGTCATCCAGCACAATAGTCACAAGAGATCTGGGATTCTCCTCCATCTGACAGGGAAAAAAAGAACAAAATAAAAAAAATATGTATATATTCTTACCTGTCAAACTGCACACACCGCCAAATTAAGCATCTTTAAACAAATGCTAAATTATAATGTATGTATTATAGCTATTTAAATTACAGATCATGAAATTCATAAACACGGGTTATCTAAAATATTTTAAAAAGGCTCGTTAAAATTTACAAGACTAGTGGAAAATGTAAGCAATAATCAACTACGCGAGCAAGAATTAATTACCATAAGTATATCTTGTATGCAATAAAACGGCTCAGTTTACTCGTGCTTACGCAGCAGCCCTCAAACTCAACGCTAGCCTCCTGCTTCCATGACAGGGTGAACACCGGACTCACCTCAAATATCACATATAAAGCCAGCATTGGCCATTTCACATTTACGGTCCTCTTATGAGCATTTCTAAACTGTGTGCCCGCACCATGAATCTATTGGATGCTTTGGGTTAGCACTACCACATCCGAGTGGCTAACCTGGAAAAACAGAGCTACGAAAGCGGGGGTCAACTTCGCGCAATTATTGATAAATGATCTGTCAGATCAGTTATCCCCACATATCTTGATCGATTACATCGTTAAGTGTTAACCACAGCTACTCACTTCGTCTGGTTAGGGTTAACTAACAAGTTAGACGAGAGCGATGTCAAGGCTAGCGTGGCTAGTAGCCCAATGAGCGCCAGATAGCCGACGCATTGCGCCACTTTAATGCCAGTTTCAGCCCACAAGGAACAAAGAATAGTCACGCTGGCATCTTGTATGATCCATTTAAACAAGCCCACCAATTAATATCAAATGTAGTAACGTTACGTTTAGCACAGACCGTTAACAAGCTCGCTCCTTAGCCACAATAGAAAGCTAACATAAAAACGAACAAGTGACTCCCACAAACCTCTTTTATCGTGTTAATCACTGCACGGCTCATATAGCAAAGCAGACAACACTGTAATGAGAATTTATACTTATTTATATTATAATAGTTACCTTATTTTGTTGACGCGGGCAGCCCAGATCCATGGGGCAGCCTCGCTCCGGTCCGGTTTTCAAAAGACAGATGAGTGTCTGCCGCTGCTCTGAACCTGATTGGCTGTTAGGTCAACACAGTGATGTGTAGCTCTTGTGACGGTTATGATTCGCATTTTTTACACAATTTTCAAATATTTTAACACAACATGTGTTAAAACAGTAGTAACACATAACATGTGTTAATAATTAACATCATTTCTTAGAGTGCAGCTGCTCTCGGGGCCAGAGCGGAGGATGTAACGTAACGTTCGGTTTATCAAAACATATCACAATATTTAACGTATAACACTAGTGAATTTCACCTCGATTTTTTCAGACATTAAAGACAAGATGTTATATAATAATTGTTTAATGAAAAAACAATTTTGCCACAAGCAAAATTGCCTCAGACAAGAATCGAGCCTGTGTTCTCCAGGTCCCAGTCTTTAATGCTAACCATTCGGCCAACATAGCACCTCTGGGCTAGACAGGTTTGCACGCAGTATGATACCTGAGCGTCTAAGTTGCTGGCAGAGCTAAAGCGGACTTAGCCTGCCACCTTGTGGCGATAAGATGTACTATTTTTCACGCAGCTGCGTGATTCCCGAGAAGCGTGAATGAAGACGACAAAACGGAATGGGACCTACTGTATAGGAGAGACCGCATAGACTGGAGTGACCTGACTGGAGAGACCGGTGCGCAGAGACCAGCGCGGACCAAAGATAGACCGCATAGACCAGACTTGAGAGACCAGCGCGGACCCGTATGAATCCAGGAGCATGCAGCACGGACCCGTATGGAGAGAGACCAGTGCAGACCCGTATATGGGAGAGACCAGTGCAGACCCGTATAGATCCATGGGAGAGACCAGTACAGACCTGTCTAGATCCATGGGAGAGACCAGTGCAGACCAGTATAGATCCATGGGAGAGACCAGTGCAGACCCGTATATGGGAGAGACCAGTGCAGACCCGTATAGATCCATAGGAGAGACCAGCGCAGAGACTCAGCGCGGACCCCGCAGCCTCCTGCAGCAGCAGTATATATGCCGTTGTTCTGTGGCCCGTGGATAAAGAAATGCCCCCTATAAATAGGAAGGGGTCACTAATACACGGCAAGATTTCCAATGTATTTGATAAAGCGTTGGCACATTTCATTTCAAAATTAATTAAAAAGTAGGCCAGATCTGCAGTGAAAAAGGCGGTATATAAATAAAGATTACTAATAAAGATTACTACAAATAAATAAATACATACATCGATATGACGGACATATCACTGGAATGTTGTATTTTTATTCAACTTCACCAAAGAGGACAACCCCGGCGTGTGAACATGTCGGCACTGAATGCGTACGAGTGCTCCTGAGGACTCGTAGGATTTGTACTTGCCCAAGAGAAATTCTGGTTACGAGAAATATTCGTGAATGCCACTTTCTTCGTAAAAACCGCGTAAGTAGGATTTACGTACAAATCTGTTCCTAAGAACCGTTCGTGAATGAGGCCCAATGTTTGTTTTTTATAATTGCATTTATTGTGTTTGAACTGTTGAATTCGCCAACACAGATCAGCGAATCAAACAGTTTTGAGAAAACTACTGTTGACATTTTGAGCTATTCCAAAATAAAAAGAAAATTGAATTTGATTAAAAAAACAAATAGAGCCATTGGTCATTAAACGTTGATAAATGTGGTTGAATGTTGAGTGTCCTGGATCATCGCTAGAGTTTGAATATCTTTCTACTTTGATAGTACACTACATTATTCCATGCTTTGAAATGGTTTGCAATGTTCTGGAAAAAAGAGCAGGGAGAGGTTGAGACTTTGCTTCATATAAGTAATTTGTCTAGTATTTCCACCATTAGTGTAACATATGGGCTGATGAAACATTCTCGCCCCAATACTCTACAATAAAATGAATATATGCCTATTCCGACGTGTACAAGATTAAACCTGCTGATCCTTACTTTATGAACCCTTTTGTATGAACACCTGTCTTTTCAATAAGCTGACCAGCACTTACAGACTTATGAGGGGGAGTTGGGACATGTATTTTATTGTATTGCATGTGTAATAAAACAATAACAATTCTCAGCCTAAAAGACGCTACTTCTGTCAAGAGGTTTGTCCCTACAGCTTATAAAGTAATGTGGCAAATGTATGTTTTATTTTTGTGTTCAATTCAATGTATTTGCGTATAGTGCTGAATCACAACAGTAGTTATCACAGAGGGCTCTACAAAAAAAAAACACCTGTCCAGGGACTATGAATGAAAGCCGTTTGCTAAATCCGGTGCATTTCTGGATATGTTCATGCATGTACAATGTTACTGTCAAATAGATGTCAATGTTAAATGGAGCAATTGAGAAGGGCCATCACAGAAAACTCACCATTCCTCTCTTCATTCCATCTGCCGCACTCAGAAAGAACTGAACTCAGAGTAAACTGTGAGCACATTTTGTAGAGGACAGATGGTTCGCAAGGCCGGTCTCCAAACATATAATAGATTTTTCAAAAGAAGTATAGTTGGAGTAGGAGAAAAGTCCTCAAAAATTAACTGTTTTATAGGAATAGAGAAAATATTTAACTGACACAGTGGTGATGATCCAGGACATTCAACAACATGTATGAACATAGGTCATACAGTAGGTCATCTGCTCCTCATGGACCAATGGCTCTATGTTATTTCCATCCATCCATCTACCCCTTAGTCGATTTCTGGGTCGGGGGGGTGGCTGTCAGAGATGCCCCCCAGTAGACAGAGCACCAGCCCCTCACTGATCCTCCTGGAGGTGGTGAGTCCACAGGAGCCTTGATCTTCCAGCGGAGGCTTCGGGCAAAGTGGGGTTAAGTGTCTTGGCCAAGGACACAACGACAGCAGTCATCAGTGGAAGTTATGAAGTAGGTCTTATGGTGCGCTCGAACCCACGACCTTCAGGCTCTAAGACCAACTGAGCCACTGTCACCCCTCTATGTTATGTGTTAATCTTTATTGAAGGGGCAGTGTACAGTGAGATATTACGGTCAGAGAGATAGACATGTTCCAGGTCATAGTTAGATAGCTAGTTTCTATCTGCAGTCCCTGATAAGAAGTAGCTATCTCCCTGACATGTTTTTTAGCAATGCATTTCTCCTGTTTGAACTGTTTGATTCTCTGATCGGTCTTGGCAACGTCAACGCTTGTGTAAAGTCCTTCAAGATAACCACTGTTGTGATTTATGTTTATGTGAATTTTTTTTTGTTGATATTTGATTCTATAAAAGAATACATTGAATTGAATACCGTCAACGAACAATGTCTAATATCTATTCTTCAAAACAAAACAGGATCTTTGCCAATTTTGAAATGATCTGCACTAGTTTTGAAAGACGGACGTAAGAGAAATAGGAGCTGTCCTAAAAAGTGTAACAGTGAGCAGGCAGGCAGAATGTACCGCTGACAGCTTTCCCATGCAGCCTCACATCAGGAGCCAGATTGCAGAGCTGCGGCGCCTGAGGAGTGGTCCCGGCTTATCCACGGTGCTGCTGCAAAGAACCTGGCCCAACCGGAGGCAGTACCTGGCAGGAGCAACACATGCACCCCTGTAATCCAGGGACGTGCAGTCAGGGGAGGCAGGGGAGGCAGAGCCTCACCTGCCATTATTGGAAACTAATAATTATTTTAGTTTAAATATATAATTTATATCCACTGTCCTATGCTTTTAATGTATATTCGGCACGGTTCCCATCAGTTTTGATCATTTCTGAAGTCAAAATCGCCGAAATCCCGTTATTCCTATTCAAAGAGACGAGGTGAGGCAGCGCTCCTGCGTGCCTCACCCCAGACCGCTCCCTCACAGTGTGTGTGTGTGTGTCTGAGTGCACTCAGCTCGTGCAGTTGATATATCACCGTTTGTTTCAAATATCCTGCTTTAAAAACATTTTTTAAACTCCTCTTAGTGTTTAGTAGTGTATTGCACGTATGTGTGTACAATTTATATTTAGTTTAAGTCTTTTGATCGTAGATGAACACACAAGGAAAAAGCTTGGCGTGAGGCAGGCGGTATCTGTGCCTCACCGCTAGGGGTGATAGTGAGCATAAAGTTCATACCAGAGTTGCTAACAAACAATCAGCCCAAAATGCTATTTCTTTTGCTGGAAAATGGATGATTTGAATGAAGATTTTTTTTCTCAATTGGACTTTCAAACAAAGAAAGAATTAATATAGACTGGGAGACCACCACTGGACTTACGAGGTTAGTCCGGCTGCGGGGGAGGAGTTTGTTAATCTGTGTTTTATGTTGAACATTGACAGATACCGGCAAAGTAGTGCTTTTCCGAAAAACACTGATTCAAACACTGCTCAAGAGTTCTGCAACTTGTTTAAATTATTGTTTATGTTCCTCGCGTCTCTCTCTCCTCGCGTCTCCGTCTCTCTCTGCTCCTCGCGTCTCCGTCTCTCTGCTCCTCTCTGTCTCTCTCTGCTCCTCTCTCCTCGCGTCTCTCTCTCCTCGCGTCTCCGTCTCTCTCTCCTCGCGTCTCCGTCTCTCTGCTCCTCTCTGTCTCTCTCTGCTCCTCTCTCCTCGCGTCTCTCTCTCCTCGCGTCTCTCGCACCTGCGCTTCTTAAAGATGTTGTTTGATGCGGAGCAGAGTCAGCAGCTAGATTTGTTGTGAGATTATTAAAAGAAGCTGGTTCTCTTATCTTTACAGTATATAAAGTTTGTGGATGTCATTGCATTGGTGATTAAATGCTATTTTATTTGAATAATGATTGTAAATCTGACTTTTAAAGTCAGTGCCTCCCCAATCACAAACCTCACCGCACGTCCCTGCTGTAATCCCACCGACGCCCGCGGTCTGCACTGAACCCACTCTTTTCATTTTGCACTAACCAGACAGCTGTGACATGAGAGGATTGCAGTCCCAGGATCAACATACAGGTGTAAGTACGGAAGTCTTGTTTATTCACATAGAGCACCAAGGTCATACCAAACACTTTACAATGTTTGTGGGGTACAGATGTTTCCACGGTGATGA